CATTGAGGAAAAAACTCCGCGTATATATTGTTTATCATGACTCTGTTTTTACGTGGCCTATCAACACAATTTAAAAACTGGTATATATCACCTTGTTGCTTTGTCTTTAAGTGGTCATGTGATTGGCTTACCACGACTATTTTAATCTTCCTCAGTCAAACAGCAGCACTCATGCCATTGTTTTGCCCACTTAGCTCCAGGTGTTGTGCTAGACAGTGATCGTGATTACCGTCCGCGGGAGCGCACGCAGCTGCTTAAAGCTGTAGCGTCCAGATTACTTACAGCTACTTCTGTGCAACTGATATAAGATGCGCTAAACTGAACACAGCTTCAACCGTCTGTTTGTTGAAAAATATTAACGAACCGCATTTTCTTGTTAGTAACTGTAACGGCGTTGTAACGATAGGAATAGTAATTAGTTAGATTACTCGTTACTGAAAAAAGACTTGTAACGCCGTTACTTGTAACGCCGTTATTCCCATCACTGGTCATCAGTATTGAAGATTGCATGAAAAATACCAATGTTACTGATGTTTGTTTTGTTTATTTTGTTTATTTTCTACCCTCAGACTCTATGAAAGAAGTTTTCAACATCAGCGGTACACAGATTAGTATCCTGAGCCTGGTCTCATGTGTTAGTTAAATAAAGTGTTTCTCCATCCTAAAGGATGCAGTTATTTGAGGGAGACATCACAGATTCCAGACCTGAAAACCCCTCAAAATGAGTACTTTGATGTGATGTGAATGTTGTTTAAGGAGTGGACATGCTGCAAACAGACAAAAGGAGTTTAGTCCTCGCCTCTTTACAGAGACTCTCTAAATCCTTTAGGTTTCTTGGCTGCCATTTGGCAACTCAAAGCTTCAGCTCCCTTCACAGATTTTCTACAGGATTTGGGGTGGACATTTGCTAAGCTACTCCATGATCTTCATGTGCTTCTTCTTCAGGCATTTCTTTGTTGCCTTGGTGTTATGTTTTAGGTCATTGTCAGGCTGGAAGACCCATTCATGATCCATCTTCATTCTTCTGGCTGAGGGACGGAGGCTTTGGTCCTCAGATTTTGTGGTACATTGACTCCTCAATGTAATGAGGTAAAAAAAACAGCATAAAGAAAAATGTTTCCACCGCTGTGCTTGACTTCGGGGTTTTTTCTTCAGGTCATTTTCAACATTTCTCTTCCTCCAAACACGGCAGTTGTTGATGCCAGGGTGGAAGCTAAAAGACAGGATAGTGGTTTCATCCAACCACAGCAATTTCTCCCAAATCTGGTTTACTGGCAAACTTAAGACATGCCTGCACATGTGCCTTATTGAACAGGGAGACTTTGCACTGCAATATGTCAGTCTATAACAACATCATGTGTTACCAATGGTGTTCTTGGTAACTGTCTTCAGATCATTAACAAACTCCTTTTGTGTAGTTTTGGGCTAATCCAGCACCTTTCTCATGATCATCCTCACCCCTTGAGACAAGGTCTTGCATTGAGTTCTAGCATGAAGGCTATTGATGGTCTTTT